TTCCCACGATCGGGACATCCGCGGCGCATCCTTTCTCGAAACCGTTTCGTCCGACCGGTGCCTCGGACGCCGGTCCGGGGTCGGGATACAACCGATACCGCGAGATCGAGCCGGGAGAGGAGAGGATCGGGGAAATCGGTGCGGCTGGATGTCGAGTCGGCTTTCGAGTTACGCGTGGAAGTTCCGCAGACGCGAGGGAAGACGGATCGAAGCGGTCGCGTTGCCGATGCTCGTTCGACGGATCGTCTCGAGGAGAAGGCGGCGATTCGCGAGTCTCACGAGCGGAGACGAGTCGGGTTTCGCTAGATGGATCGGACGCGCGAACGTAAATTCGGGTAAAAGAGCCGTCGGACGGCGGCCGATAATACTTTCACCCGAGACACGTGCAAATCGTTTCACCGACGCGCGAGCATCGCGCCGATGAGCGATCGATCCCGCCCGCGAGATTTCTATTCGCGACGACGTCGGCCTCTCGTGAACGGGGATTAGGATTTGGAGGCGTTCGAGTCTCGCTCGGGGAATCCGTGCCAGATGTGCTCCGTCCGACGACCGCTTCGTCCGAAGGATTGAACCGAGACGATGGAGGACGAGCGGAAAAGAGCGCGGAGGCTCGGAAATCGCCGAAAGCCGGTCGGTCGGAGGGATGCTCGTTCGCACGGGCCTCGGAAAGCCTGCTGGTTTCCATCGTACTCGTATTTGCACGTGGGTACGCGGCGTATCGAGGGACAGACACGTGGTAACGGTAGACGATGCTTCGGGCGCCGATCTGCCCTCCCCCTCCCGCTCCACCTCTTTCTCTACCACTCTCTTTCGAGTAAGATTCCCAAAGAAAGAACGTGGTCGGCATGGACGAGCGAGCAAAGAATGCCGCCTCCGTGGAGGCAGTCTCTAGATCGGACGAGATTCGACCTTGGACTTGGATTCGGCCGCGTGGATCTGCGGCCGCCGTCTCGAAATTTTCCCCGGTTATCCGATCGGACGCGAAATTCGTCGGACCCGTACGATTCGTCCCGGTATTTTCTCGCGAGTCGTGTGTGTCCCCGGTTCCAGCGTAGAACCTCGGGTATAGAATGCCCGAGGATGTAGAAGGAAAACGGGAAGACCGGAGAAAGTAGACGCGCCGCGAGCTGCCGCGAGAACCGACTAGCGACGGATCCACGGATTCACCGATTCCTCGGCGACGAACGAGTCGCAAAGGTCACGGGCACGGGACGCGCGAGCGACGAAGGTCGCGTCGTCGGATAGGCGTGCGAAGCGTGTAAAGTGCAAACGATCGGGCGGACGTTGCCGGTCGGAGCGCGATAATCGCGTCGCGCGCGGGCAACGATCGCGGCGAAGAAATCGCCACCGATCGGACCTGGGAAGATGGCGATAATCGAGACGGATAGGCATCGCTCGTGCAACGTAGGCGAATCAAGGGATCGTTCGTGGGAGGGAGGGCAGGACGAAAACCGGAACGGGAAGAAACGCGCGCCGCGAATGGCCCTGAGATCGAGGTTGGATCCCGAGACAGCGTGGCCCCACGGTTTCACTTTATCTCTCTCCTGCGGACCACACAAGGTTATCGTGCGCTCGCGCGAGCGAGCCAGCCCGCGCCCGGTCTCGTACGGACGCGCGCGAAATCTTTGACGCTTCGGTGTGCGGGCACCTGCGCGCGTGTGTCGCTGGCCCGGCCGGGCCACGAGATCCGGACTACGTTGATGGGAATTAATGATCGATGTTAACGTCGACTTATGCCACAGGTTTCCGGGAAACGAACACCGTCGCGTATTCGAACGAAAGTGCTCTCCCGGTTCGCCGGCGAACATCCCAGATTATCGAGGTTAATAGCCGAGCGGGGAAGCTGCGCGTAACGCTCGGTACACGCGCCGTTGCGATTTCCTGGATTTTCGGGATTTCGCGACGTCCCTCCCGCGATCCGAACCGTGCGCGTTTCACTCGCGCGGATTCGTCTCCGCGGGTGGATCGATCGATCACCGATCGCGGGGAATCACAGCGGAGGCGATTAAATTCTCGGCGAGACGGCGAGACGCGGCCCCGTCGTCGAGCCCGGGGAAATTTCGACGGTCCGAATAGATCGGGAACAGAAACGGGTATTCTTCTGATCGGTCGGAGAAACCTTTAACGAGAAGACATATCGGTAAGAGGGCCGCGAGGGGAGACATGGCCCCGAAACGAAACCGGCCTATATTAGCTAAGAAGGCGTATTACGTATGCAGGCCGTTCGGTCTCGCTACCGCTCCTCTTCTCGCGTGCGATGAAATTTTCATCGTGTTCCAAGCCTTACGGGACGTATACACGCATGCGAAACCGTACCGATACGCAGTCCCACGAATCTTCGCCGATGGGGCCAACCGCGCGGCGTAGCGCGAGCAATAAAACGCCGCAAAAGCGAGAAAAAGTAGTCGGTCCGCAGGCCGCGGGACTCCGGCCCGTCAAGACGTCGAGATAAGCCCGACAGTTCGATCCGAGGAATCGATTCCCGGCTTGTCATTGCTCAACGTAACACCGATTGTGCTTGTAACGCGCCAACAGAAAAATACGATCGATTCGATGCCGCGATCCGATCCGATCGCTGTTGCTGTTAGCCGAAACCGAGGCAACTCGTTCCCCCGTCGACGTCTTTTTCCTTTCGAGGGAAAAACAAATCGTTTCGCCGCCGGTCGCCGGAGCGGCGGAGTCCACCGATTTCGTATGATTCGCGAGGATTTCCTGCACTTCTGTCAGAATCGTGTCCCGAATAGGGGTCACGCGATTTACATGTGTTCGCCGCTTACATCGGCGAGGATTTCTCCGGTTCTTTTCTAGGCGGTCTTCCAACTCTGATCGGAGAAATGACGAAAGTTATGGGCTCCCGTGAGCGGCATCGATCCCATGAAATAAATCGCGCCAGCCGGAAAGAGATACGCGCTGAGAAGCCGCGGCGCGCCGTCGCTCCCATCGTTGTTCCGATTCTTAACGACCCGTGGAAACGTCGTTTCACTGGATTTTTCTAACAGGAACACGACCGACCGTCGAACCCGCGCGATTTCCACCCTGTCCTCCCGATTCGACGCGAAATCGGCGATCTCGCGTTTACCGTCGCGACGAATCTTAAATCACGCGAACGAAACGAGCGGAGTTTCTACCGGCGGGGACTCGAAATGTAGGTACGCGAACGGATAAAGGTCGGGTCAGCTTGTCTCTACACGTTTATCGATGCAGCATCGCAGGCGAGTCGCTCGCGACACTCACGAAAATTGATCGATGCATCGGATGACCTCTTGACCGGATATTTACCGATTCCGGTGAAGCGCGCCTGTCCCTCGAGCGCGCCGCGTGTATCGCGTGTCCTCGATAATCGCTTCGCTGTTACGTGCTCGCTAATTTCATCGTCGAAGGGCGAAATCGCAGGAAACGTCCTACTACCCGCGCTTCCTCCCCCGAATTTCGGATTTCCCACATTTCCGGGGACACTTTGGAATCTCTCTATTCGCCGACTAGTCGACGTTCGGCGACGGTGGAGATCGTCGAGGGTGAATATTCGGCTGATCGAAGCGAACGAGTTTCGGAAACAATGCCGCGGCACGCGGTATCTCGCGGACGCCTCGCGCGAGACGAGAAAAAGAAGGAAACAACGCCGGGCGCAGCGAGAGCCGACAACGGGACAACAGTGTCCTTCCTTTCCGTTCGACTTCCCTTTGGATTTATGAATGCTGCCCGATGCGAAGGGACCGTGCGCGTTTCCTGGTTGTAAAGGGAGATATATGAACCTTAGGGGATACCGTACGTCCAGCTGGAAGCCGCGGTGCCCGTGCACTGCAGGTAAATGCGAACATACGGACGCCGCGTGTTTCGAAAGAATACAAAGTCGCTTGGAGCTGCGACTCGACGCGATTACCGTAGTCGAATCGTTTCGATCCGAATAGCGTCGCGCCGATCAACGGATCGAAATGTACGTACGCCGTTCCGAAACGCCGCGACACACCTGCATGCCTCGCCGCGCTGCCGTTAATGCTTCGTTGCTGTGACGTAACGCGAATAAAACCGCTTGGTTGGTACAGCAATATCCTGTATTGCGGTGGTGAAACGGAACTTCGATTTCGAGAGAGAGAGAAAGAGGGAGAGAAAGAGAGGGAGAGAGAGAGAGGGAAAGAGAGAGTCACGAATGTTTGCGAGGCTCGAAAACGTATTACACGATCGATCGAGATTCCCGATGCCGAGAGGATCGGCACGGAGTTCCCGGGAGGAAGAGGAACAGCGATTTCCAGCGGGGAACCGGACAGAGACGAAAGTTTTGGCACTCTTCCTGAATGCCGATGAAACAGATGCAATTTCGTGCGGGTGAAGAGTCGGTCGGATTGGATGCGGGGAGGATACTGCGGTACGAGGAGAAAAAGACCGGCGACCTAGTTCGGATAGTTTCTATACGTGTCGCCCGGAAACGTCGTTTAGGCTGATCCCCGTGAAACAGTCGATATCGGTAAAAGCGAGGCCGAGACGCTGCGACAATGGCGAGTCGCGTTTCACGCGGACGTTAAAGAAACTCGGAGGACGCGCTCTGACAAGTCGCCGACATCGTCGACGGGAGAACCGCTGGCCCGAGTCGATCGACACCGGCGAAATTGAATCGCGTCTCGCGCGAACGACGCTTCGAATCGGCCGAGAACGATTTTCCGCCGATGTCGCGTCGGATCCGGCCGGTCTCGCGTCTCGTTTCGCCGCCTCGAATTGTTTACGAGCGCGTTTTCTTCTCGGCGAGTGAACATTCGAGACGAGAGCACGCTCGCGACACGGTCGCCCGCGTCGTTGGACAACGAGGTTCCCGAGTGTTTACCGGTCGATCCGCGTGTCATCGCGCACGTCGCGTCCGGGAACCCTCTTCCCGACGCTTCGCGGACGTTTTGATTCGCGGAGAGGACGCGCCTCGTGCCGTAGCGGGAAACGGGAGGTCGGCGAAGGATACAGCGAAAATGGCAAACACTCACCGTGATCGTGGCGAAACCTTTCCTTCGTAACAGCGATTAGGCTTACTTTCGAACGACAACTGTTGGTCAATCGGCGGGCTCTAAACTGTCGGCGGCAACGTGTTTCCTTCGACGAGCATAGCTTCCTCTCCTCCGGTCCCTAGAATCTAATGTCCGTTCGGCTCGGGTCCGGTCCGATCGTTCGCGAGAGCAGGCCGCGGGAACGGCGATCGAATCGAGCCGAAAAGGAGGACCGATTCTCGCGGAGGATCCAACGGCGTACGCTCTTCGAGGCGAGCACGAGCGGCCGAGCGGAGATGCGCGTGTTCTATTTATCCGGAGAGAGACGGATCGTTGCGCGGCGGTGTCCGGTGTTCGATATCGTCGACTAATTCCAGCGAGGATCGAGGGTCTCCAGGAATCTGGTTAGCGAAAGCTCCGGTTCACTCGGAGCACAGTGGAGAACTGAGCGAAGTGCCGGCCGGTCGAGCGGCCAGGCGGGCTTTTCCAACCGGCTTAACCAATCGCGACTTCTCTCTTGTCCCACGTGCCTCTTTCTCTCTCTTTCTCCTCTCCGTCACCCTCCCGGCTCCGCGCTCTCGCGCTCTCCGAGGAGTTATCGCGTCCCGGGTTGTTCGCCAGCATCCCCCGCCGCCGCAACCCCCAGCACACTGCTGTTGCCCGCGGATCAACTCCTCCGAAACTCGCCGGCGATCCGATCGATCGAGATCTAATTCGAGATCACAAGCGGCACATGCTCGACGGCCGTATGCACGGTGTGTTCCCGAGCACGCCGAGGTCCCCGGTCGTAAGCAAACAACGGTACGAGTCTCGAACTCGCCGAGCCGAGCGCTATCGGAACTTTCAAAGGCTCGCCGGTGTGAGTTCTACACGCGTCCGCGTGCCGGCGAACTACTTCTCTCAAAAACGGATGGTCCACGCTCGGACGCCGGCTCGAGGCGGAAATCAAATTCGACGAGTCGTTGCTCGTCTAGAAATTCGCGGCGGAATTTCTTCGGCTTCGATGCGCTGTGAACGTCGATCGCGATCGCGAGGAGCTGGGGACCTTTGCGAATCGACGTGGAAGCGATCGCGTATGATCTCCGCGGCTTAGCGGGGAAAAAGAGGAGAAAGGAAGGATGCAAACGTTATCGAGAACCGAGTGCTCGACGGACGTTCATTCTCGCGAGGATTCTTCGAAGATGTGCCACATTGACAAATACGCGCATCCGAGACCGTGCAATAGCCTCGTTCGCCGTTAATGGGCAAGATATGCTGCCGAATCTAAACTTGCGATTTTAGCTGTTCGACCCGGTCGAACCTCGCGCAACTTCCGGCGTGGAACAACGTTTGCTATTCCAACGAAGCGCTCGCAGATACGAAAATTCATCTTGTCGAGTTGAGTAGGACCTTTAGTTGCATGACACGAAGATATGTTCTTTTGGAAGTGATTTTTCCTTTCGACGTTCGGAGACAGGAGAATCCGACGGTCTAGAAGCAACGGAAAAAGAAACGAAGCTCGTATCGGCCACGTCTGCATAGCGTGTACACGGCGTACGCGCCAAGCTGATATCGAACAAAACGTGATCGAGGCCTTACTTTCGAAGTTGCCCGCAGAGCATTCGGTCGATCGGGCTGCATGTGCTCCAGTCGCTTTCCTAACGACGAGACATGCTTTTACCAACGACGATACTTCTTTGTGCGCGTGACGTGCCGTTTTCATTGACGCATTATCGAACCATAGCTATCGAACGAGCGACGCGTACTCCTCGTTGACACGACATATCCGAGGACTACCTGCGCGAGAGCTCGCGACCGTTGGATTCGCATAATCGTCGATGGTCGGACACGGTCAGAGCAGCAGAGAGACGTCGGAGGGAGGGGAACTCGGTTCTTTTCCGAATAAAGTTCGTTTTCGTTTCGGCGTTACGAAATCTGGAACGAAAGTCGAGCGATTCGTCAAACGGATTTACCGTAATTCGCTTATCCAATATTTGGCGAACTTTCCTTTTAACGCGTGCTAACGAGACTTCCGTTTTCTTCGCTCGGCGCTAATCGAATCCGCCGATAGGAGGACGACTGTAATTACTCGAATTATTCCCGGCCGATACGGCGGCGGATACGGCGGCGGACGAAGAACGTGCGTTGGAATAGAATAACATTCCACGGATTCCTGTTTCGAATTCACGATCCTCGTTCCCGACCTCGGATTCTTGCGTGAAAGCGAACAAAAGAATTACTGGCGACCGGAAATGCGAAGCGCACGCAGTGTACGCATATCAATTTTACTTTCACAACGTCGTATATATCGCTCGAGTCGTTTGCCTTTGAAAGAGACCCGCGGATTGTAGACCGAGCCTCGTGCCCGAGTCTCCATTTTGGCCGTGTCAATTCACACCTGTACGGGCGCCTCGGGTTCCGCGGAATCTTGAATAGTTAATCGCCACGTTCCGTCAACGTCAACTTACTGTTTCCTACTTCGGTGCCCTTGTTGGCCGAACCGAGAGATCCACGAGATCTGCCGTGCAACGGTGCGCTATGGGATCGCGTACGATCCACGCCGATGAAAAAAAGGAACGATCTCCTCGTTCGAGCACACCGGTACCGAAGGAATCGTTTGTTTTCCGTGGCGAGGGAATAGCGAAGTCGCGTGAACATTGACACCGAATCGTTCTTGAAGAGAAGACGGATACACTAACGACGTAACGAGAGAAACCGGTTTCCAATTTTGCAGTTAGTAACCGGAGGATCGACATAATTAACCCGCACAAAGCCTAAACTATACTTCAATCGAGGGTTCCCGGGGACTTTCATTAATTACGAAGGAGAAAAATGCGGACGTGGAAGCGTGAAACGTGACGCCGATTGCGAAGGGAAATTAAGATCGAAATATCTCGATGGCGACGAAGGGACTGCGATTGAGATTTTTTATCGGAGAAGCTTCTAACGCGATCGGTAGATTGAGAGAAGCACGCCGATTCCCTCGCAGAAGCATCGGCAGTTTTTTAATGTGTTCGGCCACACCTTCGTTAGATTCTTCTACATGCTCGCTGCACTTTCTCCGTTCATTTGTTTTCCAAAAACGTACGTCCGTGCTCGACGACACACTTTTTACGAAGACCCAATTTACGGAACGATAATAATTGCAAAATACTTTTACGAAGTTGATAGTCTACAGTCTGTCCTTACACTTTAATGAGTCGCGAGTCGAGCGTGGCGTTTCCTTTTCCTCGTAATGGAAATCGTTTTACATCTGACAAGTTGCGATCGGCTTGGTTCTAGAGATACAGGTAGCGATCCGATTTGATGACGATTAAATTCGTTTGTTCGCGAGCTCTCGAAGGCAATTAAAACTCGCGACAAGCTTGTTTTGTCTAAAAACTTACTCCATAGAATCGCCTTTCATCAGATTTCGTGAGAGTAATCAGATAATTGGCAAACGATGTCGTAACGCTGATCGAAGACCGATCTCAAACGTCAAGTTACAATGACCCTGATCGATACTGCAAGCATACTTGAATTTTACGAGATCTATGATATTTTATAACGTAAAGATATTCGTTAAATTTAAGCGTGGAAAATTTGTAAGACATCTTTGATCGCTGTATCGTCGACATAAAGGGGAATACTATCGATTACAGTTGGGTAGAGGTGTATGGTGGTGGAACTGTAATAAGGATTATATAAATCACACTGTCCACTGTATGCACGATTTATTGACATGTCAGTATAATAGTATTAAGTATATAGAAACAAACCTGCGTTTCATTTGTATAGTGTCGAAAATAATTTATATTATCATAGAATACTTTCAGTCGATTGTGCTAAAAGAATCTATTATTTTCAATTTCGGAGCACCGCTCGGTTTAAAAAAATATTATTAGCTACGACAGTTTTTGTTAGTAAGTACGTGATTGTTTCATGTTTAACGTACCGTTGATGTTACGATAAACATTGTATCCTTAATCAATTTTCGTTAACACATAAGCTCGTCGACATATGGGAATACATAAAAGTAATATAAATAAATAATCTCCAGAAATACTTAAAATATCGAGTCCAAGGAACTAACACTAAAATTACTTTTGATATTATAAAATGGAAGAAAGATTGACTAACGAGAAGCGTAATCAAGCAGTAATTACTAATTGTACGTTGATGATAATTGGTAGTTCCCATTGGTCATTACAAAATGATTAATGCAATCAAAATATTAAACTGCACTCTGGCACTCTGTAGGCCTATCTTTTAAAATTAATCTTATTTCGGTATAACCGTCTTTCTGTTATATAATAATACCACGTGATGTTTCCATGTGATGTAATTAATCATGTTTGTTTACTGGCACAGAAATAATCAAAGTAAAAATATTTGGAGCAACTTAAGTACTTGAAATAAAAAGAAGGATCAAATAATTTTGATAAAAGTGTACGAGAGTATTAAAGGAAATGATAAGAATTAAATGAAAGATAAATTGAAATTGTCATGATTAAGAAACACATTCCAATCTATGACATAAACTGGACAAGATACTTAAATTTCTCTCCACTATTAACAGTCTTGTGTACACCAATTTCTAAACCAGACTCTAGGACAGCATTATAAACTAGATGCCTCCACATCAGGTATGTTGAAAAGATCAGCATCTTTCCAGTAGTAAGTTGGAGGACCCGGAGAAAAACAGTACCTCATAGATAATGGGTCGTCATTTTCAACATAATACATTAGGTAGAAATTACACATTTCATCTGTCCTGGTTCCACCTATATATGTCCAAGTATGACGCATACTCTCCATTGTACATCGAGCTGCAATTTGATCTCCTTGTTTAGCTGGAACCTTATTATGTATAGGATAGAACATTTGAGGAGTTAAAGGATCCCTTTTCCCGAGTTCTATCCATGTATAATCTGGTTTCACTAGATATCCAGAAACAACTTTTCCAAGAGAATGTGTATGCGTTCTGTATGCTATAGGATGGATAGTTTTATTCTCCCGAATAGTGCAGGCTGTTTCCATATATGTTCTGCTCTTGGGGGGTATTGCACCCGAAGTTCCCAACAGTAATACACCGGCAAGTTTATTTAAAGGATGTAACGTATAATGAAGAAACACTCCTGAATCATCCGTTCTACCATCTTTAAATGCATCAACATGAGCATAATGAACCTGCAGAACTAAATATTTAATGGGAGAATCGCCACCCACTTTGAAACCAACTCCTTCCGGTAACATTAATTTTGGTGCATCTCTAGCCCAAGCATATATTATCTGCACAGAATATTAAATTAATGTAAAAACTGATTAAAAATTTTTTAAAAGTTGTATCTCCTTCACTAATTTACCTGAGAATCATCTGCACAGGGCATCATAGGTTTTGTAGTTTCATCTGCACGATGTTCCATTTCTCCACAATCCCATACAGATTTTGAACTTCCTGGATTTCCACAACCATATAAAAGTATGTGATGAGCCGTTGCCATTGTTGCATTTGGTTCAAAACCTATCACATAATAACTCTGAGCAGGATCCACTTTAACAGGTGTACATAAATATAGTTCTTCCTGTAAATTGAGTGAAATATATTATTTTTATAACATTTTATATTTACAAAACAATTAAAAGTACTGACACTGAACAATTATACAGAAAAACGCGAATTATTTCTCTGCTGTTTCACGTATTGTTTGGTACTTACCTTGTTTGGTCTAACATTTGGCATAAGTAACGCATATTTTTTCACAGTAGTGCACTCTGTAAACTCAAATAAAATCGCGAACAGAACATAAATTATGAATATACAATTATTATTCGTTTTATCAAATTTGAAAAGCATTTTATGAATGTCCATAGAAATTCACATGGAACTGTCAAACCATATGGGTCGATATAGCATACTCCCACGTACAAATTCTGACGTAGTGATAAGACTGTGGCGACACCATATTGATTACACCACTAGAGGGCTAGAAATATCAAATGATTATCATTAATTATAAGCTACAGATCAGCAACTTACGATTAATATATTTACGTGTATAATTGTGTAAGAAACAAAGCATATACTACTCAGAATTAAACTCATTAAAATCGCGCGATTACATCCTTCACAACTAATCTAATTGATAATTACTATTAATAAATAAATGAAATATTATGTAAACGCTTTTAATACTTTCTATGACTAGAATTTATTATAATAAGTTTAATTCTTCCTGTAGACGCAAACTTTCATTATAGCTTCCAATACTTTTATAATACGCGAACATATCTCTTTGCAAGTTTGTAATTAACTAAAAGTTTGTAAAACAAAATTCCATCAACATAAAAATAAAACAAAGGGAATAAAATATTCCAAAAGCAAGTTAAAATTAACATTCTGCAGAAGTTGAAAATACAATAATCAATAGAACTGGTAAGATCGATAAAATAGAAATCTTAAATGAAGTAAGATTTAAATAGTGTCCCCTTACTGTATGCAACCCGCCTTGCTCGTCTGTTAAAAATTGCATCTCGCATCTGATAAATATGATCGAAAATTTTTGTTAGTTATTTTTCAAGGAATTCCTATTATCAACCTGTATCGACAAAGTATCGCATAAATACGATTAATATATTTATTGGACGGATTATTTATTATAAATTCTGTCACGATTAAATTGCGCGTTTCATTCATACATGATTACCAAAAGTTTAAGTACACTTATGGGAAACGTTACACAGTTGATAAGTTTCGTGATTATAAGTACAAAATGATATGTGGGTCACTTTTAAAATATATAGAATAACATTTTCTTTATCTCTTATTAACATATATGTCCCGAATTTGATCCGTGAGCCACTCTATGCCTGGTTGTAAGCCTTCTCCGGTGATTGCATTTGTTGCTCGTATATGCCAAGGTTTATTTTGTATACGGTCAAGACCAAGCCCGGCAACAAGTTTAACAGTAGTCAGAGAATCAGGTAAATCCATTTTATTCGCCAGAAAGAGTATCGGTATTTTGCGGCCTATAATGTGCGGTGTATAACATGTTATTATCTTAAACATTTGTTGAAGCGAAACAGAAAAAAAGATATGAAACTTCTGTACTTGCTACGTCAGGATGTTGAAGAAGCATATCTAATTCTTCTTTAACCACGACCAATCGTAACTTGTCGCTACTATCAATTATAAAAATAATGCCATGACAATCCTTGTAATAATGTTCCCATAAAGCTCTATGACGGTCATGGCCGGACATATCGAATGCCGTGAAACTGACATTTTTAACTGGAAAAGAACATTGTAATTTTACGAAAAAATTACGTTATGCGAGTGAGTCGTATGTAAATTACGACTACTATTCATTTTATAAAGCGCCATCTCTTCCGTCCTTATTCTTTTCTAGATTATCAGGGAATAAATGAGAATCACTGAATGCATATGGACAAGATCTTGGCGGGATAATGTGTATTTAAAAATAGAGTTGAACTACATATTTTTAATCAAATAATTATTACATTCCATCATGGCAGTAGACAATAGTAGTAAAAATGTTGAAATTTCCGAACAACAATTGGACGAATGTCAAGGTGAACTAAATATCGCTTAAAAATCATCTAACCCTAAATCTTTTCTGGAAATATCTCAATGATAATATTATCATTTATTTCATTTCAGAATCGTTACAAGAAGAAAAGGATAAGTTAAAGAAACAAATAGAAGAGTTGAACTCTATAATTTTGGAAATGCAGTGGAACTTAGATCTTTGTGCATTTAAGAAAATTAAAACTATCCCTGAGTCTAATATTTCTAGTGTTCCCATAGATCCAGATATCTCAAAGGTTCCAAACATTAATGTAGAATTAGCGTCAGACTTATTTAGATTTGCTGGTTTTCGTTGTATTAAATTTACCAAAAATGAATTCATATTTAATTTTTCTTCACAAAGTAAATACGACAAAGATAATATTTTTGCTGTGCAAATATTACATAAAAAACGTAAATGGACATTAGGAAAATGGGTAATGCCAATATCAATTGATTTAGAAGATTTAGTATGTCAGTTTTCCAATGATGCCAGCGATATACCTTGTTTCTTGAAAGCTTGTAAACATTACATAGATTGTTACTTTCTTCGATGTGAACAGTATAATGCATTGAAGGTATATGGTTATCTCTAATTTTTGTAGTTCTTTGAAGTGAGGGAGTAAACCTAATGATGTTCAAAACTTATAGGAAACTGTATCTCATTTGAAAAACTGTACTTTGCAAACAAATGATGGATATACTAACATTATTTTAAATTTAATGGGAGTGCATAATGTTGAAAGTAATGCATACCTAAACATAGATATACATCTTAGATACAATTTTGATGAAATTTGGCCACAGCACATTACAGTTGATTCACAAACACACCAACAATTGAATACACAAATAAAACAGCAGTTAAAAGAATCTCTAATATGTTTCAAATTATGCGATTTATGTAAAGCATTTGAAAAAATGTTTAATGATACTCCATTTACATGGTCAAAAGAAGATGATGAAGACAGCCCTCTAGAAATTAGTGTATGTTGAAAACCTTAGATCATTCGTTGCAAAGAATATACTATTATTGAGGATATTACTTTTCTTTTCAGAATGCAAGTGGGTCAGATGAAGAAGGATTTTTAGACAAATTTTCATTTCGAAAGAAAGAAACTATATCTAAAACTGGTAAAAAAAGAAAACGAAAAGTACGAGACATAAGTAAAGCATATGAATTAAATACTTCAGATAGTGTTGAAGAAAACAATAAATCCATTACTCTTCAAAATGAAGAAGAAATGAGTCAGAATCATAGTGAACATTCTATAAATCAAAACATGAATGCAACTGTATTGCCTGCTCATCATGTAAACACGCAGTACCAAAAGAAATTAAAACAGACAAAATTAAAATTTAAATTAAATGAAAAACCAAATCTGCATATGGACCCTAATACTGTCACTCCTAGAAACATGACTTCTGAAGAAGATGCACTAGATATAAATTTAGATAAGGTGATTACTAGTACTCCAATGCATCGAAGTAGTGCCAAAACAATTATAGCAGAAACTTCCAATGATATTAGCGTTATTGTTAATGACGAACATCCACAAAGTACAACATCATGGAATAAAAGTGACATTGATTCCATTGAAAAACAGAAAGTTGTACACAAGAAGCAACCTCATAAAAATGTACCTTCAAAAACATTACAAACTAAAATGAAGAAAACTGTAAAATCAGTAATAGAATCGA